AGCGCCCCGCCCGCAGCCACCCGCGCCCGCGGACCACCCGAGCCGCGGCCACCGTCGCCGCCGCCTCCGCGGCGCATCGCGGACGCCCTGCAGGTCGGTTACGTAACGGCGCCGTCCCCGATCGCCCCAGCACCCTGTCCCACCGAAGCTGGAAGCCTTGGTGCGGAGGGACCAAGGTTTTGGGAAGCAAGCACAGCGGGGTTTAGAGGCAGGGCAGGGGCAAAGGCCGTGGAGTCCCCAAAGCATCCTTGGGGGCAGGTCTCCCAGGTTTCCTTTCTAAGGAGGCGCTAGTCTCAAAGCGCCTCTTCCTCTTTCCTAGTGCCCAAGGTCCACCTTCCCAGGGACAAGCAGCAGGTGCATATGTACACAGAGGACCCAGCATAACTCCAGTGGTCCCGGGGATCTGGTTTTAGAGAGGGAGTTAGGGGAGACTAAGAACTCAGGGAGCAGAGGAGAAAACCGGGAGACCCCTATGTTCTCAGGCTTCACGAATTTGCTGGGAAGGAAGGAGGTGCTTTCAGGCACAGCCAGGCTGAGAATTGTCCTGCCTGGGATTAGCGGGCTTGGGTCATCTAAAAATAACTTCGAGTTTGAAAAGTGAAATGGACAGGAGCGCCGTGTGCCGGTTCGTCCTGCCTTTGGGATACACCTCTGTAGAAGTCATGGCAAGGGACAGGCTAGTCTCAGCCCTCTCTGCTGCCTCCTGATCTGGCCTTGCTGGTTTCCAGGGTGCCTCCGTTTGACTTTTAGTTAATGATTTATTCTCCAAGGCCTCGCTGTCTTTTTCTTATCCCAGAATGAATTCTAGCTGAGCCAGTGTTTCGAATCTTCCCTATTTCGCACAAAGGAATAGAAGTGTTAAATTGAAAACTGTTACAACACACCCAAGGCTGTATTTTAAAATCCTGTTTTAGTAAAAACAAAAACTCTTTCTTGTTTCTCTTTACTTATACAATCCCTTAATTTCCCATGGATAGAGATAAGACACTGCTAGAGCATTCTTCCTCTCTTGACTCAGATCCATGGTCTAGACAGGAGGTTTTGGGAAAAGTAGGACACTTCTTTAAAATGCAACTTAACTTTCACACGTTCCAAGTTCTTAATTATACTAAGTTCAAAATACAGGACAAGTGTATCACAGGCAAGGGCTAGTTCCTGCTGACCAGCCCATCCCCTTCAGCATTCTGGTATACCATGAAGATGCCTATAGACAGTAGGTGGGAAGGATCAAGCGACAAGGCAAGAGAGAACACTTGGCAGCCTTTCAGTGTATACATTGCTTTTCTTTAGCCTTATAGAGTTATTAGACTAAGTATAATCAGTCATCAATCTCGATTACCCTAAAATGGGAGTTGCACTTTGCTTTCAGAGAGAGTGCAAATCAAATCAGCATTCACTGAGCGCCTATTACCTGAATCAAGTCCGTAGGATTTAGGGAGGGAGAAGTGTCCTCAACTGAAGTGGCAGGATTTTAAGATTTTCGAAAACACTTAGCATGAGCTTGTCCATTAGAACCCACCTGAGCCTGGGAGGCCGAGGCTTTCTCTCCAGTGAGGAATATTAAACAGGCAGAAGTGGGAACTTGAGAGCTTTCTCATTTGCAAGGACTCATCACACTCTGAAACACCACTTGCATAATTGTTTGCAGCTTGTCAGATCTGTTGCAGAAACTAGCATGTCCTTTATTGAGGCTATCGTTGACGGCGGCAAAGATTGCATTTTTTTCCTGTTTCTTTACTTTTCTGTGTCACCCACTCAATTGATTCAACAGCTCTTTGTTAAGCACCCACTGTGTGCTATGTAGATCCTGTGCCAGGGCCTAAAAGAATGAGACCCTATACATCCTAGAAGTAAATTTAACAGGAAATAAATGATAGTGGTTCAGCGTGGTAAGCGCCTAATTCAGAAAGGAACGAGGTCAGTGGGAGTCAAGAGAAGGAAGGGTGGAGGGACTCTAGAAGGGTCTGCCAGAGAGTACACATCTGGACTGGATCCCAAAGGGTGGTTGGCATTCTCTAGAGAAGGTTCTGGGCATTCCATATAAAAAGCACAGCATAAATATTCAGAGGAAAGGGCATGATCAAGAGCACCTAGTTTTGGAACGAGGGGTTAGTATGAGTTTGAGGAGGCTGCAGTGACCCCTGGTCATGAACATACTCTGTTGAAGAGGAGAAATCACTCAATATTTAATAGGAGAAATTATTTAATCTCATTTATATTTTGCAAAAGTGACTTTGAGGAGGTGAGGTAGTAGGATTGTAAGGACGAAGGAGCTGGGCTTTTAGACAATTGAAGTGATCTGGCATCTCCACGCCCCCACCCCACTTCCCCCAAATCATGAAAGCAAGTGGCAGGGGGAAACAGAAAAGAAAGCTATAAGAGAGCTTTTTTTCAGGGAAAATTGGTGGCACTTTTGTTACCATGTGAAGGCAAGAAGCACTTAGATGTTAGATGGATGGTCAGGACTTTAGCTGAGGCAAGGCATTAACAAAAAAAGGCTTGAGAAAGGTGGTGAAGTTTTCCTTTGAATATCTACAAGAGGCACTTTAGTTTTGTAAAGGTAGGACTTGTTCATTCCTGGAGCTAACCTTTTGCTAACGTAACTTACCTTTTCCCCTGGTGCTATTAAGTGCTGCCTTCAGAGAAAAGGAAGGTGAACTTGATGGCAGGATATTGTCTTTCTCTTTATCCTCGTCCCCAAAGTGAAACTTTTAACTAAGTTATTTGAATGCTGCCAGTGGTAATAATTATAATGTGCAATGTTCATTCAGTGCTAGTTAAATGCTGCATGCGTTGAAGTTAGAGCAAAATTATTACACCGGATCCTACAGCTAACCTTGTGTGGCTCTCTTGACAGTCTCATGCAATTGGTAAGGAAACCCAGGTTAAAGGAGGGTCCCCTATCAAGGGTATGCAATTAGTAATTAATATGCTCAATGTTGGAGCCCAGGTTCTGTTCAGCATTCTGAATAACCTGTGTGAATTAATAACTGAAATAATCCCTTTCTCTATCATTGGATATTTTGTGGCTGATGTCACAGAAGAGATCTGGGGCTGAGTCAGGAATCTTGGTTTTTCCCCTGGGTTCTGCACCTGATATGCTGTATAACATTTGCAAGCTCTCACCTCCTCTCGGGCTTGAGTTATTTTAAATCGGTGTAATGGCAGAAGAAATGGACTAGACATTCCTTAAGGAATTTCTGTGTTTGGAAGTCCTGCCATCCTGTTTCAAATTCTACTGTAAGATCCACTGATTTGGGTTAAGATCATGCCTATCTTGATGCCCAATTCTCAATGACGGTGTGAAATATTCCCAAGTGCAGTAATGATGTGTGCCTAATGTTGGGAGATCCCAGTTCATGGGGAGAACCCTTCTTAGGTACTAATGCAGAAGAATCTCTCATCATCACTGATCTCATTCTTTACTTCAGACGTGTCATGTAGACTCTGGGTGTTTCCTCGTCACAGAAAAATTGGGGCAATTAATACCTCAGCAAGTTTGTTATAGGAATTGATGCATCATGAACCAAGCCCTGCATCTAAGTTGACCCCATTGAATTTATTCTGGAAGTGGGGGCCATGCCTTTTACCCCCAGGAAAACAGACATATAGAAAGGTAAAGGAAACTATCTTTGATAACAAAATAAATTATTGCATAGTTTCTTGCTCAAAATTACGTGTGTATGCATGTTCATGTGTGTGCAAGTGCACATGCGTACATGTGCACGTATGTGGAAGCCAGAGGACAACCTCAAGTGCCATCCTCAGGAATGATGTCCATTTCCTTTGCGACAAGGTCTCTCGCGAACCTGAGGGTTCACCTGTTAGTTTAGACTGCTTGGCTAGTGAATCCCAGGGATCCTCCTGTTTCTGCCTTCTCAATATAAGACAACTGCATACCACCACACTTGGTATTTTTACATGGGTGCTAGGGATCCAACCAAAGTCCTCCTGCTTATGAGGCAAGCACTTTACTGACTGATCCTTCTCCCTAGCTCCACTACTGCATGGTTTTGATAAGAGGCATCCCTTAGTTAAACAGCATCTATTTTAGGAAGAAGCCCTTCGAGACTATAAGAACATGCAACACATTAAATGCCTTTCGGTGTGTGACTCAAATATTAATACATTTTTAGGTATAAAAAACATTTTATTATACAGTTTTAATCTTGTCTTTTGCCAGCTTATAAGGAGGCCACATGGTTGTAAGGAGATACTATTGTTAGGACCAATCCCAGATTCCATACAATGCCATAGACTGTAGAA